GCAGTTGTCAGCAATAATAATTTCTACAATGTAAACAAGCAGCGTTCCTTTGTAAGTTAATCATTTCGTACGTGCCTAACGATGTGTTGAAGCAGGGTGATGACTGATTTGAAAGAATGCTCGCTATGATTTGGAATGCATTCAGCTCACAAATTGGCGCTAACTTGTACTTTGCCGGTCATGAAATTAAATAAGTTGAAACATTTACGTCGGAATCTATGAAAAAATTTTTGTTCATAAAAATTTTAATTTGTAACAACAAATTGACGATAAAAATTTAATTAATTTCAAACCATCTTCTGGCAAACAAAACGAGAGTTTTGTTAAATTTACTTACCTAACTTTTAAAATTTTTAGAAACGATTTGAATGATTTTCATTAAAATTTACCAAAAATAAATTCATGAAATATTTATAGTTAAACTAATAATAATTATTTGACAGTTAAAATGTGTGGTGAACCAAACAACAACAACACGAATTAATTATAAACACCGGACAGCTGAAACGTTTCGACCGACGTTTCTTTGAAAGAACGATTAAAATTCAAAGTTGAATTGCAGGTTTCCACATAAATGGAATTTTTTTGAGCTAATCCCAGATTTGTAAACTTATAATTTTTTGTTTGGCATCTTTCGATTTTAAGAAATTAATCTATCAGATTTGTAACTACAAACGCTGTTTCACAGATAAAAATTAAAATAAAACAATCGAAGTAAAATTATTATGTAAAAACTCAAATGAATTTGACTTTTACAATATATTTATTCCAAAGTTTGACGCAAAGAATGTTTGAAAAGTTTGAATATTTTAGAACCAAATATTAGGAACCTCAATGCCGATGAACCTAATCCTTTTAAAACAATTCATATAAAATTTACTATTTAGTTCAACCTTGATGGAGGAGTTGTGAGATTCTTTCTAGATAGACTTTTATTTTCTCAAGTCAAGTTCAAACGATTTTTGTTTTGTGTCTGCTCGAGTTTATGTAAACATCTGTCTGAAGTGCTAATGTAAATATCTTGGAGCCATGTTTATAGAAATGAGAATTCGGTATCGTTCATATAACAAAAATCGCTTAACTAAATATTTGATGGATTTTTTTAAATTTTCAACATTTCATATTCATCGAATGATTATAGTTGGTTTACTTCCCAAAACAAACGAATTCTACCTGCCAAAATATAAGCTTTGCAGCTGCAAATGTGGAATCCTGAGAACGGTGACGCCCCAGAGCGGAACTTCCAGTTGGAAGTTGATGCCCATCCTTCCTTCCTTCCATCTCAGTTCACAACTCCAACAACACGTTGCAATAAACGTTTAATCAGCCCGCCGAGCAGCATCTGAGCACCAGCCCTTTTGCTGCAACTGTTGAAACGTAACAATTTAATTTTCTCAAGTTAAACCACATTATCAACATAAAAGTTTAAAAATATTTTTGAGCATCTGAAAATTTTAAACATCTAAAACTAATCACACGGACCGTCAAGCAGAAATGATTCTCCGCTCGATTTTTATGCTGAATGATCCAAACAAGAAGTATTCCAGCTCGGCAATCAATTAGACATCAAGCTGTTTGTTCACACACGCGTATAACATTTTTATGTTTATTCTCCAGTTAGAATCGTTCTCCAGTTAGAATCGTTCTCCAGTTAGAATCGTTCTACAGACTTATTTGTTTATTAATTAACTCTGACACGTGTGCAACTAACCACACTCACCCGGATATCAAATATCTCCATTCTCCTGTTGTGAACTTCCAGCCACGTGCATTTAAATTTGATGCTCCTTCAGTTATTAATGTACTAGGACCGAGCAGCCGTTTCAACTCAACTTCATCCTCATAAACATCAATGTACAATGTGTAGGGGATCATTTCTACGTGTATTTCATTCAGTTTATAGATCTCTATAAAATATTCAAGTTTATTTTCAATTTAATTGATAGAAATTTCTAATACATGTGTTGTACATACACAATTTTTTCAATTTATCAACTACAAATAAGCTAATGTTCAAGTGAATTAGTGAATTATTAGCGGCATAGGTTAATTTACATATTTAAAAAAAACAAACCACATAAATCATCTATCTATGAATAAATAAAACATCTGCCACTTCAAAATTCTCTAATCTATGTTTATGGTTGAGATTTTAAAAGATCTGCAATGTGGAATAAAAATAATTTTCCAAAAAATGGAAATAGGATGTTTGTTGAACTGAAGCTGCTAAACGTAAATCTAATCAAAGTTACAATCAAAATGAAAATAAAATTGTTGGTTCAACTCAGTACAAAATTAAAATATCGCAGACCTGAAAATATATGGGAACAAATTTTTAGAAAAAAATCATAATTGAAATATCAAGTAACAACAAACAAGATGGATTATCGTTGGATGGAAAACTAATTAACCTCTCTTCAGCAGTGGAAGGACTTAGTTGGAGGCTGGAAGACGTGGTTGTGAAAATAAAATTATTAAAAAATTATTAATTAAAAAATTATGGAGAAAAATGGACATACAAATTTTCAAATATTTAAATTATTCTTTATTATATAACTTTTAAAAACGAGATAATTGGCAAAATATTTAAATCAAAAAATTGAAACTATTTGGATTAATGTCAAATTTATAAATATTTTTCTATATATATGTAGTGGAAAACCCGTTCAGAGTGATCCGATTAAACGAACTACACTATATTTCCAAAAATATAAACGACTCATTGTTTAAAAGTGAATTAAACAAATAAGTAGACTATGAAAATGAATAAATGTATAACAATCAATAAATTAATTCGACTTGCTCTGAGAAAAGTTGTGTTAAATGGAAGAAACTTTGAACAAATATTTTTCTAACATGAATGACTTCGGTGGATTGGTTGATGTTTGTAAGAAACTGAAAATTTTCATCTAGATTCACTACATTCGTTATGTCTTCGAACCGAATGTTCATCTAAGTTGAAAGTACACTGTGTTATTTTTGATTTTTGTTTTTCATTTCTTATCTATCCATTTATCCATCCTTCTATTCATCCATCCTTCTATCCATCCATCCTTCTATCCATCCTTCTATCCATCCATCCTTCTATTCATCCATCCATCAATTCATCCGTCCGTCCGTCCGTCCGTCCATCCATCCATATATCTATCCATCCATCCAACCATATATCCATCCATCCATCCATCATACAGGTGGTCTGTTCGGTGTTAATTTACATTCAATCAATTTAGTGAACGCTAATGCTACACACACACACCTACACACACACTCAGGCACGCACACACAACACACTCGCACACAAACACACGCATAAACCCTCACACACAACACAAAAACACTCACATACAAACACACACAAACATCCACACACACACACACACATACATAGTTACACACACTCACACTCATACACACATACTCACACACACGCACGTAATGTGTGGTCTTTGTCAATTTGTTGTAAACATTTATTCCCTGACGTATTCTGTTCTGCTATTAAACTTACAAACGTTTCACTGTTGCATTGTTTCGTCACTCATGTTATTTAGATTATATTTTTTCTTTTTTTTCTACGGATTTTCGTGACATGCAGATGCATTTTCATTCCAGTCAAGATAGATTTGTACATGACATTAATTCATTAATATTTTTAAAACAATTTCTGAATAATGACTAACAGAAAGTTTTGTTGAGATGTCTCTAAAAGAGGGAAGCCATGCCACGAAAGCATTAACGGGTTTCAATGATATGTCACATATTCACCGCCTGTCTCTCTAATCAGTGTCAACTTTATGCTCTCTCTTCTCTGTTCTCTTTTCTATGTTCTCTCTTTCATGTTCTTTCTTCCATATTCTCTCATCCATGTTCTCTCTTCTATGTTCTCTTTTCCATGTCTTCCCTTCCATGTTCTCTTATCCATGTTCTCCCTTCCATGTTCTCTCTTTTATGTTCTCTCTTCTATGCTCTCTCTTTCATGTTCTCTTTTCCATATTCTTTTTTTTTTATGTTCTCTCTTCTATGTTCTCTTTTCTATGTTATGTCTTTTATGTTCTCTCTTTCATGTTCTTTCTTCTATGTTCTCTTTTCCATGTTTTTCCTTCCATGTTCTCTCTTCCATGTTCACTCTTCTATGTTCTCTCTTTTTTCTGTTTTCCATACAGAAATATTTCATGTCAGCTCTCTACTCAACCAGACTAATGGACACTTGTTTTGTTTGAAATAAAACATTTTCTCTTTCACAGACCGTCATATGTATGTATATGTAGGCCTGATGTAGGGGTTGGCAAACCTTTTGTTTTGAGGGCCATATTGAAAACTATTTTATCTTTGAAGGGCCGCATATGTACTTAATAAGCAAATTTTTTCGACCCGGGGGAGAATTTTTTAAAGATTTGTTTAACGGTTTTTTTGCTGCTGTTTGTACTCAATTAAATAGTACTTTTTTATTTAGCTAGTACTTATTTCATCACTCGCAAGCAACTAAAAGACTTACGATGCTGAACAGAGTAAGGTGATGCACGAGTAGCACAAACACAAGGAACAATCTTTTTTCTTTTGTTTTCATAGATGATTTATTTAATATGACATTACAAATAATGATAACAGGAAAAAAAGTCTTTATAATGAGCTGTTGAAATAATCAAATGATATCATTTTGAGATAATATAGCTGCTGTAGAATGTTTGTGAATGTCTGTATGCAATAAGGCTGTATAGAAGGATGGATGGATAGAAGGATGGATAGATGGATGGATGGATGGATAGAAGGATGGATGAATAGAAGGATGGATGGATAAATGGATAGATAAGATATGAAAGACGATCACTATAAGAAATTTATCTCTATCCACCATCTCAAAATACATTCGAATGTTGATTTGAAGCTGTAGAAGTAATTTAATTCAAAATTTTCAATCCATTTTTATTCACAATGAAAAATGTAAAGTTTAAAGAACAAGGCAATGAATAAGTTGCGTGTTGGTTGAGTATGTGTTAGCTTCATTATGCTTTTTTGTGTGCTGTGGACTCTTGGTTGAGTTTGTGAATTTCTGTTTGTGTCTGTGTGTTTGTGTTGGGGTGGGTGTGCGTGTTAAAAGTTATGTGTAGGTTGTCAGTGAGAATGGCAATGTTCGTGACAGAAAGTTCTTCAGGTCCAAGCTTGAGGCTGGTGTCGTCTCGGTCATTAACATCTTCATCATCAGCATCTTCATCATCAGCATCTTCATCATCAGCATCTTCATCATCAGCATCTTCATCATCAGCATCTTCATCATCAGCATCTTCATCATCAGCATCTTCATCATCAACATCTTCATCATCAGCATCTTCATCATCAGCATCTTCATTATCAATATTTTCATCATCAACATCTTTATCATCAGCTTCTTTATCATCAACATCTTCATCATCAACATCTTCATCATCAGCATCTTCATCATCAGCATCTTCATCACCAACATCCTCGTCACCATCCTTATCAGCTTCTACTAAAATCATAACCTTTCTTAAGGTTCTTGCATTGATGTTCACCACATGATTAAATTAATTTATAAATGGTGGTTGTGTTCATCACTTCACTTCATGAGGATCATTATCAACGTCAACATCGTGATCATCTTCATCATCATTCATCATCATCTTCGCTAGGCGATCAGATGTCAACGATTTGTTTATTTATTGGAAGCAAGCATGTTTGTCTGGCATCGGTGTCGTTGTTGGTGTTGTGAATGAGAAGGAGTACCTCAACAGTACCGAAAAGTTGTTGGAAGTGTTTTGTTTCTAGCAATGATACGAAAGCCCGTATTTTTTTCATTTCAATAATAAATTTCAACTGCAACGTATTCAATACTGGCTTTCGACCCTTTTGTTCTACAATCGCATGAACTTTTACAATCTCTTTTGAAGCTGATGTAACCTTGGCTGGCAGCAATTTGTGATAATATGTGATGAAGTTTAGTTGTGCATCTGCAGCACGTTTCATTGTCGTAGCCTCAAGCAGCAAGTGGCGCAAGTGACGATGATGCAGATGACGTTGATCAGCTAGAGATAACTTTATAAACAAACCTTTTTTATTTCTGACTAACATGGCACCAAAGGTCCAACCAATCCACAATGTTATAAGATTCTTACTTATTTTTGACTCTTCCAAATTATTTAATCACAGACGATGTTTTGAAACGTTGAATTATATTTTCATAATTTAATTTTTTTACTTAGATTGAATAAATTAAGAAGAAATAGAAATTAAATATGTTTCTTACGATGCTTCACTCCTTTGAAGTTTGCTTTGAAAATGAAAATTTGTTAAAAAGAACTATTTTAAAGTATAAACATAAAAAGTAAATATTAGGTTTAAATTTTGAACTGCCTCTAATTGTGATATATTGAGATAAACTTTGAGTAGAAACTGAAGTTACAAAATTTCAAGCTCTTTAGAAGCAGGCTTCGACTCAGATGCACGACGTGTAAATTGATTTTAAAGAAAGATTGAGCGGCCGAATCATCGCGCAACTGAGCCCAATCAATCATGAAACGTTTTGCTGGAACGAGCGGCGGTGAAAGTCAGACGCAAACAAAGATCTAGCAATGGCAAATTAGTTTTTCATGTCGTTTGTCATATTTTTTTTTAAGATAAAAACTGCAGAGTAGTCTTGAAAATATCACGATTGCATGCTGAAGGGAATCTCAGGGAAGAAAAAAATAAGATTAAATGTTCCCGTTTTGTTCAGGGTGTCAAGGTGAAAGTTTCGATGAAGATTTTTGGTTTAACGTTCCTTCGTTAACCCCTACTTAAAAATATTTTTCTGATATAGATGAGTTTCTAGTTGTAATAAGAAATAACTCTAGAAGAACATTTTATATAGGTTAATGCAGATGTCATTAGTGGTCACTTTCGTCTCATTCATTCAAGCAAAAGTCCGCACGCTCTTCACAACCGTGTCCAACAAACTGGTCGATGGTCCAAGACAACGAACGCCTGTGGCTCCAAACTGACTTAGGTGGTTAATTAATGAATATAACAAACATTGACATTATAATGCAGATGCTGGTGTAAAAAATGATTTGCAGTGAATAAAAAACAATTCGCTGTGAAATGGTGTAAGTAAAACAAATTCTTGGTAATGTTGGGCGCTTTCAAAAATAAGAATGAAAAAATTAGTTTGGGAACGCTTTCCAGGAACTTAAATAATTACTGATATTTATTGAATAGATTCTATTGCCTAAACGCATTGATATTTGAATTTATTCTAAAGAATTTACGTAAATTGCTGACTCACCTACAAAAATGTTTTAAAAATTTGATCTAAAATCTGCTTGAAAGGCTGGCGGCTGCCCTATTCAGCCATCAAACTAATGCATGGGAATGTATGTGGGGTTAGTTGCACGGCATGCTTTATTGTTGTTCAGTTAGATCAAGCCTGCCTGCCTTGTCGTAAATCGGCTTTCCGCGATGACGACGACGACGATGCCACGGCTGATGATTCCGTTGGTTTTGATGTAGTTGTTGATGTTGTTGTTGCACTGATGTTGTAATAATTCACATTCGATATGTTAATATCATCATTAAACATCACATTGTAGTTGCTTGTCAAATGCATGCTTGATGTCTTCTTTGCTAGTGGATTTCAACTTTTCGACATTGGTGGTGTGTTTCATTTAATTGTTTTTCACTATGGACGGTGCAGTTGAAATAAAAAGTCAACTCGAGGCGGTGGCCTGCATAATTAAACGCTGCTCCTTTGAATATTGAAAGCTTATGAGAATGTCGATGAGATCATTTCAACGTTGGAGACATAAATTGTTTGCAGTGAAGTTTTAATTTTAAAAAAATTTGTGAAAAAGTGATAAATTTGAAAAAAAAATTTCAATTTGTTTCAGGAAAATCTTTCCTTCCTGAAGCTTTAGACACGCTGCGCCGGTAGTTTTCCTTGTAAGAGTGACGAAAGGTAGACTTATCCACATTTGTAATCAAGTGTACTTACAAAAAATCAATTCATTTCGTACTTCGACATTGGCAACCATCGACCTCCACAAAACCTTTAACACTTTGTACGAGTTGAAATCTGGTGGTATTCAACAAGTGAGAGAAGGACTTCGCGAATATTATTCGTTGTTGATCGTGATCTCTTTTCCCTGCAATCTTTCAATTTTTCAATACTACAATTTTGTACACAAAAGAATAAATAAGTGAACAGAAAAAATACGAGTAAATAAAATTGATGATTCTTAACATTAAGATAATTAACATGCGAAATTAGTTTTAAATTTCCTTCGTTGAAATTTCTAAACTATGTGTAAGTGTTAAGACTGTTCAGGGTGACGTTCAGTTTTATCTATCTAGCTGAAGTTGCTGTAAACAAAATAGAAAAAAAAATCCAATTCATAATTTTTTAATAAATAAGAAAAACAATTTTTAAAAAATTTTGTGAAATGTTTTTTGGTTTCTTGCAGCTAACACGTGCAAAACAAAAATTGAAACTTCAACCGTCACGATTCTCAAAATTTATTTTGCGTCTTTAAATTAAATCTTCGCCGCTTGTCTGAAACTTTCATTTTTACGTCTTTCATTGACTTTTCAAATTTTTAAATATATATATATATATATATAAATATATATATATATATATATATATATATATAAGTGTGCGTGTGTGTCTGTGTGAATATGAGAAAAAGTTTAGTTATGATGAATAGTAATTTGCATTATTTTTTATTTTCCTGTGTTTGTTTGTCAATTGACATTATCTCAGTTTCATCTCCATTGGCACAATTTTAGCATTTTTAGTTGAGGTGGTCTGCACAAGTTAATCTTTCTTTTTTTTTATTTCAACTTGATTGGTCTGAAAAAGTTGTCTCTCGTTGTTGCTGTTGCTGTAGGTTTGTAAAATGAAATGAACGCTCCTCTCTTTGTTTCATTTACCCAACAAAACTTTTGATTTAACTTTATGTATTTCTGTATTTCGATTTTTTATTTTCCTGTTTTGTTTGGCAATGGGCTATAGCCCGTGATATTCTATCTAATAATAATAAAAATAATAATAAAAATAATAATAATAATATTAATAATTATAATAATACTACTACCACTACTAACAACAATAATAAACCTTTTAAGGAATTAATGTTGAAATTTTAATCATTTTAATCACTCCATCTCTTGAGAAGGCCTGCAAAGAATGTCAGCATTTCAGTAAAACATTTCAAAAAACTTTTAAAGAGTGATGAAGCGACGATATTTTCACGATTTGTTCCTCCGTGACCTCATGAGAATCAACATTGCAACTGTCGAATCATGTGAATCCAACAATTCAACCGAGACACCAACCGCACACCACTTTGTCCATTCATTCAAATTCCACTTAGCGGCACACAAATTTGTACAAAGCATGAAATTTTTTTGTGGGAGTTCAGTTGTTTTGGAGAACTCACATGGAACGCCTGGAAAATTTTCTACCGACTGAAACAAAAATGAGACGTGTCTCTGATTGAGCCGACAGTTTGTTTATGCAGATGTGCCATTATTCAAAGGTCTACACGCACGGGAATGCATGCACACTGGAACATAAAAAACACATACACATACACAAACACAAACGTACATACACACAAACACATGCGTACCGACACACAATCACACACGTACATACGCACAAACTCACACGCATATCACATATACAAGAATGAAATAATGAAGAAACATATCTTGCATTTGCACTCACGAATATATTCATATAAAGGATCAATCATTAGTGAATATACACACACACACTCACTCACACACACGCACACACACACCAATCTACACACACTCACACACACATACCAATACACACACACAAACACACACGCACACGCACGCACAGACAAGACACTGATTATTATTGAATGAGACTGGCTGGTTTTTGAATGACGTTCTGCACACGCGTGTGTCACCGCTGATGACGTCTCAATCCAGCTGAGTGACGTTTCAGTAGTAAATTGCTGGTCATCACTATCATCACCGTCACTATCATCATTACCACCTCCATCATCATCATCATCATCACCAGCATTACCATCATCATCAGTATCATCATCATCATCATCACCAGCATCATCATCGTCATCATCAGCATCATTACCATTATCATTATCAGTGTCATATAATATTACTTAAATAAAATAATACATACATACATACATACAATATGTATATAATATAAATATATTATATATTATAAATATATATATGTATATATGTTAATAAATAAATTAATAATAATTAATAATATATATATATATATAATTATATATATATATAATATATGTATGTTTGTAATAATATATTGTCATAATCAGAGCTAATTCAAGACCGCCAGCCCAAGCGTGCCAAGTATAACTTCACTAATTTTATCCTTCGAAATTATAAACGACTTTTTCCATTTTTAAGAAAATAATCTTTCTGTATGTGTGTGTGTGTGGGTGTGTATGTATATTTATATATATATATATATATATATATATATATATATATATATATATATATATATATATATATCTGTGTGTGTGTGTGTGTGTGTGCCTACACTGAAAAACATAGCTTAGAGTATTGATAGCTTGTAACAATATAACACCATATTGTGTCGTATTTGTTCTTATGTGTAAATTTGTTTATGTCATGCATGTATATTATGCTCATAATTGTTTATATATTATGTTTATATAATTATTTATTATTCCATATAGCACATCTGGACTTTTTTAAAATGACTTTTACTGGTAGCTTAGCATCTACGATTAATAACCAAATTGTGTATCTGTTGTACAAAAAAATCATGCACCCCTGATAGCTTCAAATAGTCTTACTAGTCTTTAAAAACTTGAATTTATTTGTTATATTGTTATCATTATTTTAATATTGTATTGTCATCTCGGTGATGGCAGTCATCATCTTATTCAGATATAACTCCATCATCTTATTCAGATATAACCCTGTATCCATACATCTTTTAAAATGTTGGAGAACATGTTCTGCTAGGATCACATCGTAATTGATATCTCTAATATTCTGCATATTTACTGCAATGGAAGGAGTTTGTTAAATTATTGTTACTCTGATATAAATGTTGGCAGATTATAAGTTGAGTGTTTCCGGTTTGCTGTACGAACGGTTGAACTCGTTGAGATTGGTGACAGTTTGATATTCTTTGATGTGTCCCTGATTGAATCTGGATTTTTAAAAATTTGTCTAACTTTTTAATTGAACTTCTTTCCCCAGTTTGTTTGTTAATCCCATCACCATCTCCTTGCTTTATTGGGATCAGGGATCTGATGACAGATCCGTGTTTAACTAATCGGGAATATTTTGATATGAAGTGTGATGTAGGTTGTGTGGAATACTAAATGTTATAGTGTGAAAATATCGGTGCTGCATGATCTGAACTGTATTGTATATGAACTATAGTGAATGAATAAATATGAACGAATGACAAATGATTGGATGAACGAACGAAAAAACAAATAATTGAATGAGTGAACAAACAAACAAATAAATACAAATTAATAAATAGGGACTGACTAGTGACCGCTATAAAGGATGGAAGTTTTTTTTCATTTTTTACCCCACTTTTTCCCGCCAGTCACTAATTTTCAAACCCCAAACAAAATATGTTAACACAAATTTTATTAACTCAGCGTATAAATTGAAACTAACGCAAAATGTCACAAATTTCTTCAACTCCTCTAGCCACCTACCCCTAAAAGTGTGGCATCCTTCATGGAAAGATCCATGAACAAACAAATAGATAAATGAACAAATGAAAAATTGATTGGTTGGGCAAACATGATAAAGAACCAAATAAGTTGAAACTTTTTATAAAAAAAGACAAAGTGAAGGAGACAGCTAATGAAAATGAGAGCTAGAAGGGAAATTAGATTGAAATTTTTTTTTTAAATTTCAATTTTTCTGAGTTTTCATTTTGTGGGATTGAAAAATGTAATTCTGTAGATCTGATAATCCCCCTGCCTACCACATCATCATTCTCCTTCAAGTCGTCTGACATAAGGATGTCATTTCAACAATTATACAATGAAGAAAAATAAAACCACTTATTCCAATTCTTTCTGATTGGCCAGACTACCTTCAATGCGGTCAGTGAGTGGATGACCGTCCCATTCTTTCCAGGAAGTTCAGAGCGTTCGCTTTTTTAATGATCTCTTGTGTGGTTCAATTATTATCTGAACACGCACGCTGCAGGTCTCAAGTGCATTCACCCACTAAATTCGCTCATTCATTTAAATAGCGTAAATGTAAAAAGACATGTGCTTAAAAATCACATACATATCACACACACAAACACGCACAAGTTTTCCCAAATGCACTTTTATTTCCATCCATGTGAACAGCAAGCTTTACACGTGCGTCTTGAACTTCAAAAGACTTCAAGATCTTCAGATTGATGGAGTTTTACAACTTTAGCAAGAATTCATTCGGTGAATATTAATCATTATTGAACATGAGACTCATCGGTTGCTGTTGATTCATTAAGGAATGATTTGTTGCCTGCAAATGTTCATTCAAACGCTCCGAATCCATTTCATAACTACCTCCAACCAATCTTAACCACCAAAATATTCAACGTAGCAGCTTCATTGCTACATCATTGTTTTGATTGCTTTGAAAATATAAAAAAATCAAATTATTTGAATAAAATAAAAATTTAATTTACAAACAATTTATGCAAAAAGAAACGAATAAATTGAAGAGTTAAAATAGATATAAATAAAAACAATTAATTTAAATTTCTTTCAGATAAAATAAATTATGGTAGAAATGAAAAAATAAACTTCAGAGGCTTCGTCGTACGTCATTAACGATGAACGATGCGCATATCCTGACTGCTGGATTGCCGGGAATTATGGGATTAATTTTTAATACATCCGCGCGCGTGTTTCAAGACGACGATGCTGCACGTCTGTTTCTTATGAATCAATTTCATTTAACATTTCCTTTGAATTCTCAACATCTTCTTTCATTTCTCAACATTTTTTTTAATTCTCAACTTTTTTTTTCATTTCTCAACATTTTATTTCATTTCTCAACATCTTCTTTTAATCCACAACATTTTCTTTTTTCAATCAACGAAGTTGTCATCAGAATGTGATTGAAATTTTTTAATTTCAAATGTTTTTTTTATTTATACAACGATACGTTGGAACGGATTTTTAAAGAAATCCTCTCGCGAGTCTCATCAAATATGAAATATGTTTGCTCTTTTTCATCAAGTTGGATCGACATCAGTTGAATTTATACTTAGTAAATGGAAAATTGATTTAAGGATTTTAAAAATGAGGCAACATTTAAAAAAATTTTGTCATAAAATATTTATTTAAAAATGAATTTTTACAATGACCTCATCATTATAAATTTTTTTTAAGATGGTAGATAAACAAATTTTATATGGATTTATATAGTTTTTTTACAGCTTAACGGCGTTTCAGCACGATGTGGCTATTTTGACGCCATGGATCATTAGAAACTGATTATTTTGTCGTGACATCTTAAAAACTTCAAATTCTGTTGATCAAACAGAATTCATGCATTTATATCGTAATTGAAATTTGAATTTATATTGTGAATGGATTATTCATTTAACTTCAAAACTAATTAATGACTTGCACCACCCGCACCACCGAACAGTTGCCTACATCGGGGACATTGCCCTGACGGAAGAGGACCTGCTGATGTTCACTGGCGCCAACAACCTCCAGGCCCTCAAGCGAAACAAGCAGAATCAAATCGAGAAACGTGTTGACAGCAACCAAACGAACGCCCGCCGACAGGTGCGAAGAAATAAAAAAACAAGAGATCATCTTGCTGGCAGAAATCATGTGGTTAAGACGAGAAAGAAGAACTTTAGAAATGATACCAAAAAAGCCAAAAGGAAAAAACTGTCAAAGAAAAGAAACCGCAGTCAAAACAATAAACAAGCGTCTTATTCTCAAATGAACCATCTGAGGTAGTTTTCAAGTTTATGTTGAGTTGTTTGTGTACAAATGAATAAACAAATTAATGTTTGCATTCTATGAGAATTAGAAAATGTGTTTTTGAATTATTTACCAGCATTATTTATCATCATCTTCTTTTTACTCACTATGATGTTTATCCTTGCTACGTTATGAAATCAACGTGTAGCATGAGCTCTCATGATGTTTCATTGTTGCGTGTAACGAATTAATATGCTTTTGATTCTCATATCAAACAACATTTCTTTTTCCATGAAATAAACATGAACAAAAGAGGGAAACATTTTTTCTCAGTGATGGTGGTAATGCTGGAAATAACAATTAAAGATAATAATAAGAACTGTTAGAGGCACCCATTGGTGATTCAGTGAATGCAAGGATGAAGTAGGGGCAACTATTAAATGATGAATGTATTTGTGTATAGTTAAGCACATCATAAAATGGAATGAAGTTCATCAAAGTGTTCCAATTTTGTGCATAGGAAATTTTCCGCCAATGAACGAACGTTTTGGCAATAACATAAATTTTCACGAGTTTTTTTTTTCAAAGTTGCAATCAACTGAAAATTTCCGCGCAATCGTTTTTTTCATTTTTAATTTCACCCTTTTATAACTGTTAAAATACTAGCAGTAAATATCGGCATTCATTAAAAGAGTCATTATAGAAATACCTTAAAGCATTTTTAGAGCTTGGCCTCTATAGGTAGCCTGGGAATAATGCGTGAATTCAAAAAACTGTCCAACGGCAAACTTCATAACGCATGGTAGACGTCAGATAAGAAAGTTGCTTTCATGCAAGTACCGCTAAATAAGCATTCGGGACTATTTCTAACTAGGTGGGAAAATAATTAACATCTCCAATAAACTAATTGCACAAGCAAATTTATTTCGGATGAATTAAAAAAAAACTTTATCGGACTACCTTGCAGCCACATCAGTATCGACAATTTAGATTTCATGTATAGTAAATTAACAATGTTCGTCGTTGATGATGTGGTTTGTTTTTTTGTCTGTCTGTCTGTCTGTCTGCCTGTCTATCTGTCTGGTTTAGTTGTTTCTTATGAACCCAAGCACACAACCAATCAGCAACATACATATCTGAACCTGGCAAAAATATTGTCGTTTTTATGACCAGCCACATTCATACATTAATTTTTCACATTGTTGTGGTGTAATTTACAATGGGATGATTAATTTTTATGTAAAATAATTGAGTTTTTTCTTTAAAATTTATAAACAATTCAACATTTGATGAAATATTATTGGAGTATTTCGAGTTTAAAATTTTACTTGAGTATGATGTAGCAATATATTTTGTTGTTTGTTAATTTAAAAAAAAAATTATTAGAAAAATCAGTGGTCTGTCAGATCAAAAGATTGTTTTACATCTAAAAATTGATGTTTAGATGCTTCTAGATAGCATGCATGAAACTTTTATATTTTTAATAAGCGAGTTTTTCAATGTTTAATTAACAAACCGATGAAAATAAATCGCCATTCTCTCCTAGTTTTATCTCACAAGATGCAACATGAAATTGTTAAGAATGTACGAATAAAATTGTTTAAAATAATAAAAACTACTAAATGTGCTGTTACATTTCGAAAGTTATAGCACATTTTTTAATTTTTCAGAACAGTTAGAAAGAAGAGCGGGAAACAAGGGAAGCAGGTTAATAAAGAAGGCAAGTTGAAAAGCAAAAATGAATTGAGTAAAGCGAAACAACCGCCAACAAAGAAGTCTTCAAATTCAACAAACATCAAGCAAACCTCCACTCCACTACAATACAAACGAATAATTCATAATTCTTTTGGAAGAAATAAAAATTATTTTACTCATAAAAAAAAGAAAACCTCTGCTGAAGATGAGGACGATGAAAAGATGTTGGATGATGATGGAAATGTGGTGAAGAGGAGGGGGAAGAGGGCAGCCACTGCGAAGTACGACCGACTCTGGGATTATGGAGTGATTCCATATGAAATCGAAGCCAATTTCAGCGGTACTCATTAAGCGTTGTATGAAAACAATTCAAAATTGCCATTTGATTTTTTCTCATCTGCAATTTAATTTTCAGATCAATTTCGTTGATAGATGTCATTAAAATTGTTGATTATTATTTCTAATTTTATTTAACCAAAGCTAAATTGTCACCAGTCTTAAATTTGAACTGAATAGTTTATCAATCATTGATAAGGAGCCCACAAGACCCTCTTCATCCAGGCGATGAAACACTGGGAGAACCACACTTGCATCACCTTCGTTGAGAGGACCGCCACAGACGCCAGTTACATCCTCTTCACCGAGAAGCCGTGCGGGTCAGGACATTTCGAGATCATTTCGAGATTGAAAATTAAAATTCAGTATATCATTTAGCGGTACAACACCCACTAAACTGCAAGTTTTATTACTAAATCGTTTGTTGTCCATTGTGAAGTAATGTTTTTTGTATTTGTATGAAACAACATTTCGGCAAAACATTTTATACAAATTGTTGCGTGAATTAGGCATAACATTTAAAATGAACCATACAATCATAAAGTTTTTATTTTTAACACCGATGATTTACAAAAATCAGCTGTTGTTCCTTTGTGGGTAAGAAAGGAACAGGACCCCAGGCCATCTCCATCGGGAAGAATTGACAAGTTTGGGATCGTGGTGCATGAGTTGGGCCACGTCATCGGGTTCTGGCGCAAGCACACGCGACCCGATAGAGAGACACACGTGCAAATTGTGTTTAAAAATATCCTCCCAGGTTCCATCTCAACAATTTCATTCCCGAGATTTTTTTTTTTCTCAAAAACAGTGTAGTAATTTATTTTATATGTGAGATTGTGTAAAATGGAATTAGTTTCACCACATTTAATATCATATTAGAAATGGTACTATTAAGAAGTAATTTCATTTGTAACAAAACTCGTGGCCACACGGACCAGGCCAAGAGTACAACTTCAACACGCTGACTCACAGCGAGGTGAACAGTTTGAACGAGGAATATGACTACTTGAGCATCATGCACTACGCTAGGAACACATTCTCCAAAGCCGTTCACCTGGACACCATCACGCCGCTCGTCTACCAAGACATCAGACCCGAGATCGGTCAACGTATCGAATTGAGTCCTGGAGATATTGTCCAGGCTAACAAATTATATAACTGCCCAAGTTCGTCTTTGAATGAAAATTTGATTGAAATTTTTTAAACTCCGGTAACAATTTCTTATTTGTAAGTTTCGTAAATTTAACAGAGTATAGAAAGCCTTTTTGACATGTTTTGTCGTTTATTTATAAATTTAAATCAATGAAAGAAAAGAAAGTTACGGAAACAAAAAAATTTGTCTTCTTAGCTCAAACTATTTTTTACCTGTAATGAAAATTTTTTAATTTGTTTAAAACAAACAGCACCTGATACGAACAGAATTAATTAAATGCACAGAATGTGGAGACACTTTTCTGGAAGCCAGTGGAACATTCGGCTATCCATGGAACGCGAAGAGGTACATGCGGTTTATAGACACGAACGCAGTTTGCGCCTGGAGGATAGCAGGATCGCACGGGGAGAAGATCGTCCTGAACATCACGTCGTTCGACATTCCTGAGAACCCCAACTGCTCAACTGACGTCTTGGAGATTAGAGATGGACATTGGGTCAAATCACCTCTCATGGGTCCTTCAAAATTTGAAATCAATTAAACAATATTCGTGAATGAGTTTTTAAAAATTGTCGAAAGTTATCTGAAAGTTAAACATTTTTCAAAAATAATTTTGACACTATTTCATTTTGTTTTTAATTTATGAGTGAATAAATTTAATTTAAGTTGTTTTTTTTATTGAATTATTGAATTTTAAAATAAGACTGTAAAAGTTAGTTTCATCCAGAAAGTCTTTTTTGTTTCAATCATTTGATTTTGTTTGCTGAACAATAGATAGACTGTGTGGTTTGAAGTTACGTCTGCCCTACCAGCTGATATCCAGCGACAGTCGCATGTGGATTGAGTACCGTCGAACCCTGAGAAGTTTGCACGCCAGGGGGTTCACCGCTCGTTATGAAGGTCCAACTTCAGTTTGTTAAATTCATTTAAATTCATCCCTTTTGCACTTTTAATTGAATTTTGAATTTAAATTTAGCCTGATCCATTTCTACAACTAATATTTTTTTTCAAATACTGCAGTAAATTTTCTGAAATTGGAAATAGAATTAATTAGCTTTCGCCGTAATCTTCGCAAACATTAATAGAAATAATGGCACGAATGTTTAAAAATGAATGCATAAAATTGACACTGTTGTTTGATAGCTTTTTGTTGTCTTTTAGTGCTATTTTGATATGGGCTTATATAACTTACGTTTAAGCCCATTATTTATTTATATTTATATTTATTTATTTAACCCCATCGTGACAGCTGTTTGCGACGGGAAGATAGCAAAGGACTCGGGCCTCCTGACTAGCCCCCATTATCCTGACTCCTACGAAATCAACAAAAAATGCACCTGGCACATCGTCGTCCCTCATGGATACACCGTGGCCCTCAAGTTTCAATCCTTCGAGGTGTCCTGAATTTGATTTTTGTTTCTTTCCAATAAACGAGTTTATCAGTTTTTCTTCTATATGAAATGTAGGAAGCATTTGAACAGCACTATCTCAATTGACTTTGGTGAAAATATTATTTGTTTTATGTTTTTTTTCCACAATTTTACTTTTATTAAACCGATGCATCATTTAAATGTATCTTCAAATTGGTTTTCCACTGAAGACGTTTGCTCTTTAAATGCTATCTAAAAATTTTATAAACAAATTAATATAGATTTTAACATGCTGTTAAACAAGCTAATTTTGCTATTCATGTTATACATGTTATATCGACCTCCAACTGTAAATTAAACGACAATAATAAATATGAATTGGTGATAATCCTTCGATTATTACAAGAAAAATTGGTGAAGAATTATGCATTCCAGAAAATCTTCAATTACATCCACGCAATGTTTGAATGAGGAACGCCCATGGGACTATTGCGATCCTGGGGGGTTACCAAGTCAACGAACCTAATCGCCCATCCAACGTTTTTATGCTTTTCATGATTGTTAACTTGCCTCACATGTGGCCACCAGATAACTGTTGCTAGTCGATTTTTTTTTAGCTTGGAGCTATCCGCCCTTTTGTCTTTTTTGGGCGGCTTTGTTTACACACATTTAAACATCATCTAGGGCGGCTTTCGATTGCCTGGTTAAAACTTTAGTCATCAAGATTATTAAACATCTATGAAAATGCACCTGACAGATCGAGCACCACGACAAGTGCGTGTATGACTACGTGGAGCTGAGGGACGGTGACGTTGAGATGTCCCCCCTCATTGGGAGGTTCTGCGGCCACAAACTTCCGCAACCTGTTGAAAGCTCCACCAACTGGCTCTTCGTCAAGTTCGTGTCCGACTCGTCTGTCGTTAAATCAGGATTTGCTGCTCATTTCACAAAAGGTTCGTAGCGAAGAAACAATGAGTTTGAGAAGTTGAATGTTTTCTAAACTTATTTAAAAATACTTCAAGAAATGTTTGATGTAATTTTTTATCGGAAAATATGTTTCAAATTTGGCTTATGTAATGTCTGATTATATTGTCACTTAGATTATAGTGAAAAATAAATTATGTTTCGATAAATAACCATCACTTAACTAACTAAATAGAAAAAAAAACAAACGCTTCTCAGAAGTCGATGAGTGCGCCACAAACGACCACGGCTGCGAGCAGATCTGCATCAACACACTCGGCAGCTACCACTGCGACTGCAAGCTTGGCTACGAACTGCATTCTGACGGCAGAAGCTGCGAACGTAAGATGGTCTTTTGTTATACACGTTACTCAATTTCTATTAGACATATGGCGATGCAATTTTTAATTTCATACAAATACTTCGTTGAGATTCAGTGAAATTTCATTAATACGGATTTGGTTGGTTACAAAGTACCTCCATATACAAAGTACGAGATTTTACGGTTCCTACATTTTTGCACGCTCTTCCTATCTGTAGGGATGTAATGTACGCACATATAATGTACTTTGATTAAAAGTTTTATTTTATATTCTCATCCTATATCATACCATTACGTTCTGGGAAAATTTAATTTGTTGCTTTATTAATTGTCGTTGTTTAATTGTTGGATTATTTTTTATTGTTCTAAGTTGAGGATAGTTGAGAAGATAATTAAGTTAATAAATTCAATCCCAATTTCAAATATGAAGGAAGATTTCTTCGCATCAACATCAGTTTCAACTTTTTGCCACCTAACTGAGGAATTTTCGTTCTTCAGCGTTAGATGAACAAAAATGTGAGGCGCTAAGTTTTGATCAGAAATTAAACAGATGATTTGTTGACCACTAGAATTTTTTAATTCTAGTACTTAAATTTTAAAATTTTCCAATTATGAAAATGTGAACTTGAATAAATTGGTCGGCAAAGATTTAGTAGTCTTACCATGATATTTACAACGTCAATGCTCTACCATCATTTAACTGTACCGTTATAAAGCGAGTGCGAACCCAGTTGAAAAAAAAATATTTTATAAATTAAAATAATTAACAAATAAAAATAAATAATAATAATTAATTAAACGTGTGAAATGAATGAGAGTATGTTGAATTGTGAGCAGAGGCCTGCGGGGGAATACTCCGAACCCACAGTGGCTCCATCTCCAGCCCCTCCCATCCCCATTTCTACCCCAACAACAAGACCTGCGAGTGGGAAATCATAGCCCACAGTGGATTCCAAATTGTTCTCTTCTTTGACAAATTTGACTTGGAAGGCAATAACGTAAGTTGAAAGAAATTTTAGTTGAAAAATAAACTTACATTACGATGAAAAATAAAACAAAGTTGTAATATCGTACTTGGTGTTATATTTAATAAATTCTGGTTCTTATGAAATAGCTGGACATACTTTTTTCTCATTGAGAAAAGTTTTATTCGTGCATGATATTTCCAACAAGTGCTTAGCTGTTTATTAACGTATTGTTTGGCGTTAATCACTCACATAACGTATTAAAAAGAGGAAGATGGATGTGAAAATCGTTTTAAAACTTATCATGCCAAAAATTTTAATTCTTTCAAGTTGGCGCATGTAACAACATGTTTTTTCGTAAAGTTTTTGTATTCCATTAAGAAAATATCATATTTTTGTTTATGATTTATTCATTTATAATTATCCACAAAGTCTGATGCCATACTACGTACAAAAACTGCATCTCACATAAGAATGATTTACCACACGGCGGCAGCTTATTTATTTATTTTTTCAACAATACTAAATAAAGTTTATCTATTAATTAAAATTAAATATAATTTAAACAAATGCAGCAGTGAGAATAACAATATCGTCGAAGTTCTGTTTAATTATATTATATTAATTTATTATTAATTAATGGCACCATTAAGTGCTGTATGATGCGTGACCTTCAGGAAGATTGCGAGTACGACTCGTTGGTGGTGAAGAGTTGGAACGCCACCAACACAGCCACCCACGGACCGTTCTGCGGCACGACTGCCCCACGCAACATCACCTCCATCGCCCACATGATGAGGGTCGTCTTCAAAACTGATGGCACTGTCCAAAAAACTGGCTTCTTGGCTAGATTCGAAACAGGTTGTTGGCGTTTGCTCCTTTTGAACTTTTTCTGTTACAGTTTCCGGTGCCCCTATTTAATATTTTAATATATTAATAATTTTATGCCATTTACAGTTTTTCTCTTTGGTTTGTGTATGTTTTGCAAACATTTCAATATGATTTTGGTTTGGCTTTACGACCCGTAATATAATTTCGTGTCAAGAAACCTTGATATTGGTTGGATTTATTTAATTTTTAATTATTAAAAAACAAAACACTTCGTTGCTGGTCGTGGGAATATAAAATTCAGACAAGGATGAATGTGCGATAAGCAATGGCCACTGCCAGCAGATCTGCATCAACATCATCGGCAGTTATAAATGCCAGTGCAAGCCAGGATTTGTTTTACACGAGAACGAAATGGACTGCAAAGAAAGTTGGCTTACGTTCTTTTGTATCAGTAATGTTATTTTTAACTCATTATTCCAAAAAATTGTCAACAATTGAAGCAACAGATTTGGAGCATGATGTTCTTACTCACACGAATAATTTAACAATCAATTGAAAACACACAACAGGTGATTGCAAGCATGAATTAAGTGGGCGGGACAACTTCATAAAAAGTCCAAACTATCCGGATTATTATCCACAGTTAGCCGATTGCACCTGGCTGTTTAGATGTTTAGAAGGCCATCGAATCAAAATTGTTCGTATCGCTTCAAAATTATTTACTTCAAGATCACATTGAAATTATTTACTTCAAGATTACATTGAACTTATTTACTTCAAGATTATATTGAACTTATTTACTTCAAGATTACATTGAACTTATTTACTTCAAGATTACATTGAAATTATTTAGACTTTAAAATTTGAAACTTAAAAATTCAAATGTTTAACATTTTAAATAATTCTCACTCGAGCAGAACTTTTTGGACTGCGACATTGAATACCATGCCGATTGCAACAACGACTATGTGGACTTGTTCGACGGCTGGAACACGACAGCTCCGAGGATAACAAGGTTCTGTGGCGGGCGACCACCAAACCCAATCGAAGCTTCGGGCAACGTCATGTTCATGCGATTCGTCTCTGATAAGTCTGTCTTTAAGAAAGGTTTCCACGCCAATCAGGAAACAGGTCAGTTAACTAAACAATTTCACAAAAAAATATGGCACACACTAGTTTGTTGAAATTTAATTTTCATCTTAACATTAAAATTTTGTATATCACGAGTTTGATAAAATCATGTTAAATATTAATGTTAAAAATGTTAAAAATTCACTTGAAAATGAGTTTTACGTTTTTATTTTTTTGTTCATACCCTCAAACAAATAATGAACACCATCATATGATTTCCAGTTTGTGGTGGAACATTTGAAGCCACAAAGAAAGCGCAGAACTTATACTCGCACGCAAAGTACAGCGGGTCTAATTACGAAGCCATGACCAGGTGCCAGTGGCAAATAGTAGCTGAGAAGCATCACAGGATCAGATTGAAGTTTCTAACATTTCAGTTGGAAGAAGAACTTGTTTGCAAGTTAGCTGAATCGTTCTTAAGCCATAATTTCAAAGAATGCAATGTTCTTTTGTAGTGTTTCGCATAGCTGGATAATGTTTTTGCGATATAATTTTTGTTAATTTTGTGTTCGACCTATTTTTGAATTTACTTTTATGAACGTATGAAAGAAAATTTAATTTTACAAAAAAAACTCTATCATAATTAATCTTTACTTTGCAGTTGTTTGAAATCAGTCAATAAGTTTTAACGCAGATTTTTTTTTTCAATTTAACTGCAAATAATAATCTAAACACCTCAAGAATCACACATCAGCACTACATTTGTACGTGCAGACACATTCTGCTAGCTTTATTATGTTTATACTCAAAGACATCAGCTTTGATATTTTCATCGTAGACATATTTTCATCAAACATTAATAAGGGCAAGTCATATTATTCAATGTTTGTCCTGTCGTAAAATATAAATCTTTCAATTCGAAACCGGTCACCGATAAACAAAACCAAGCAACAACATTTTACTGCCCACCACCTAACTGCCCAATGGACTCAGTGAAACGATTGTTGAGCCAGTCTACAGCACATATTTCTCCACTTTACTGAATTTCAGGCTTTGCTCAGCAAGTTGAGATTATTTTGAATGTCTTGATTGTTTGTTTGATTAATCCGTTTCTATTGAATTCAGTTATTTAAAAATGTTCCTCGCAGGTACGACAACGTTGAGATATATGACGTTGATCATGAGGGCACCGAACAACTGATCGACACCTCGTGTGGATCCAGGGTTATTGTAACATTATAATGCATTCGCACATAAGTAGCATCAACTAAAATTAATATTTTTTTTTAAATGATTCATGACAATTGTTCTAACCTAAGAAAACTAGTTTTGCTGTAATCCATTCAGAGCAATTTTCAAAACTTCAATAATACATTTGAACAGATCCCGCCAGTGATTATATCTCATTACAACGAACTTTTGATAAAACTCTTCACCGACGACGCAATTGATGGCAAGGGCTTCCACGCCACGTACGAGCAGATACCTCACAACCCGCTGCACAAGTCCACCTGGCAGAAGAACATCGCCAGGAGCAGGCGCGCTCGAAGGAACCAGGCTAGGAAGAACAGACAGCAGCAGAGACGCAAGAATCTTTCCAACGCCATCCACTGATTGTACCCTCGCGCATAATGTCCCTCGTCAACCGACTCGCAATTTCTCCTCAAAGACTTCTAACTTTTCAATGTTTTGTAATAATTTATTCAATGTACGAGCTGATATTTCAGTGCTCATTTATTATTTATAATCTATTATCATCCTAATTATCATAATTTATGAGCTACTGGACTGATATTTATTGCATACGAATGTCTTTTATGTTGTTGTCGTTGTTGTTCCTTCTTTTAAAGACTGTTCTTCAGTGGTAAATTCAATAAAAAAGTTATACAAAATAAATAAAAAAATGATAAATTATATATACATTATATATACATAAATTTTACATGATATATATACATTCATTTATACCGAGACTAACAATGTTGGATATTCTATCGCGAACATGATTTCAAATGCCAATGAGCTAGCCGGTTTATAAAATATTTTGGTTAATTAACTTTCGCACACAATTCGTTTCAAGCAAATGCTTAATCACAATTTAAACGTTCATAAAATATTCTTAGTAGACAATTATGAAACTTAGACTACCAAAACAAGTAATTGAAAATATAAAAGTTGCATGTTACAGTCGTTATAGAAGAATGGAAGAGAAAAAAAGCACTTCAAATCTCGGAATATCACAATTAAGGCAACATGATAGAAATTCAGATTCAGAAATATCAAAATAATAAATAAACACTGCATTCGGATCAGACTCATACGCTATACAAATTATTTGAAGAAGAAGTTTGGGTTGCTGGGTGAGGAGAAGCAGTAATATTTCCTTTTCTCGATTTCGTTTTCCAAAGCTTGAATTTTGTTCTTCGTAATGTTAACTTCTTCATGTGTTCTTCTGAGCTCCTCTTTTAGGCAGGCCAACTTCTTTTCATTTTCTTGCTCTCGGCTCTTCTTTGTGTCCCGCGATCGCTTTGCTGCTTCGTTGTTCTTTGCCCTCTTGGCCTTGTACCTCTCGTCCTTCAACTCTTCTGGCACGGGTTTCTTTTCACCGCGGTTTCGTTTCTCGAAAGAGGTCTCCTGTACATCCAGAAGAACGTTGTTGTTGCTGTTGCAGTTGTTGTTATTGTTGTTGTTGTTGTTACAGTTGTTGTTGGCGCAGCTGTTGTCGTTGTAGATGTTGTTGATGATTGTTGTCGGTGCCGGAATGTAGGTAAGGTAGAACTGGTTGTTGGGGTGGGAGCCGTTGTTGTAGTCCTGGTAGAAAGGTGGGGGTATGGTGTGCAGATCCTGGTACGTGGGGGCCATGCTGTTCACGAAGGGGTTCATCAGCTGATTGGACGGTTCTGCAATTTTTTATCGATTACTTTTTATTTTAAAAAAATTGCACGACTGGCAGTTATGGCAAATAAACAATTGAATAATATTAGGCTGTCGTAATTAAATCAAACATACGTTTAAAGCCATAATGTGGTCTGCAAAAAGTTATAAATGTCGAGAAATTTTTCAAATTTTGAATTATTCTAAACATTGAAAAGAGAAATGATTAACCAAGTGTTGTGAAATGTTTTTCGTGGTTTGCCTCATACGACGGGACCATCTTGCGATTCCAGACTGAAAATTTTTAAAATACCACAATTAATTAACATGAAGACGTGTGTGGATGGTTAGAGGTGACAGGTTGATGCTTTTAAACCACGAACACAGTCTACATTCAAGGTATCAACGTGCTAATTTATTTAATTTCATTTGAACTGTTTAAGCTTTAATTAAAATTTTGATATGAAAGAGTAGAAATATTCTCTATAAATTAATTAGAGTTCTGTGAATGAAACGTGATACATGAGAAATCGTTATCAGCGAGCAGATAGCAATAAAAATTGCTATTTATGAAGTTTAGTGTTGAGAACATTTGCTAGTTAGGTCGGTTGTTACGTAATTTCAAACTATCCAAAAATTCTTATCGATCAAATTGAGATCGATAATATTGAAATAATTCAATAAGTTGATGCGGGTGCACATTAAGCGTGAAATGTTCGAGACGCTATCAGATCCATGAGATTCAATTCTATTCGTATCAAATTTCATGCTTATGTGATTATTCAATAGTGAAGTTGATTAACTATTTTGAAATACGTTGCAAACATTTTTTTGACGTTCGCATCTAAGAGGCCGTCGCGACCGGTGGTGCAGTTGGAGCCACACGCCTAGGTGGCTTGAGTGAAGTGGCAAATGTACGCTGGCAGGCTAAATACTCAAAATAAATCCTGAAATTCAAAATTCTGCTTATCTTACGAAATTTGCTCCGTCCGCAAACTATACCGCTGCTTAAATTAAAAAGTCCGAAATAAATAAATACTGCGACATCGTATTTTACTTTGCATGCAGTAGTTATTGCATGTATTCATGTAAATTAACTTGGTTCCCGGTGAAATACCGCGATATGTTTTTTTTTTCAACTAGTCGCTGTGTACAGTGCAAATTACTTACCAGGTCCACAGTGAATGCAGTGGCTTCTCGGGCAAAACTTCCTAGGTGCTGCATAGTCATAGATTAATCTTGAGAAGAAAATGAACAAATGACTTTTTTTCACATTCAAAATTTGAAGATATGTATTGTTTCATGCAGGTCTTAGAAATTATAATAAATGGTATAAAATTATATTCGAGCGTACATGCTCTGCGAGAATTGCAAGCGATTGTTTCCTATATACGATGCAGCATCGTATTTAAAAACATCGAAGTTGTCAGTCCGTTTTATGTTGTTTCAAGTTTTTGTTGAACAGACCAAAATTTTATATCATTGTTTTTGAGGGTCTGGTTATCGATATATTGGCGATTATGTTAACATCGATATTTCAAAGACAAACATGCACCGCATATCTAGCAATTGTTCAACAGTTCATCAGCAACATTTACCGCGGGTGGAAACAACAGAACACGGAAATCCGACTTTTTCCACCTTTTTTTTATTTTCCGTAACACTCCCATAACAAACGAAAAGTTGCGAATTGTTTTTTTTCAAGAATCATTTTTTTTTAATTTTAAGTACACACTTATCCAATCTTTAAAAAAACCTCAAATTAAAGTTCTTTGTAATAATTTTTAGCCAAAATGTGTAAATCTTGTTTTCCCTCCCAGATCAGGGAGGAAATATTCAGTAATCTAGCATACTTCAACATATTTGTACTAAGAAAAACAATTACACTGACTGATTTTAAGTGTTTTTTAAAGTTTCCTTTATTTATTAGTAGTAATAAGGTAAAATTATGATGCAAAGGCATAACATTTTTTCTAAGTCGGAATCGGAGTATGAATATTTAAAAAGGCCAAAGTCAAATAATTTTAATCCGATATTGACACTCTGGTTTGAACTCAGGAATTAATGGTAAACAGAATAGAGGTCGTCGCCAACACATGAAAATCATCCTTTCTACAATAAAATTCAAGACCGACTACTGCAAAAAACTGCACTAAAATTTGTAGGTTTTATTCAAAGACTAAGCATTAAACATAAACATAAAAAAATTGTTATGTAACAAATCTCGGACCACCCTAAAATAAAAACTGACAAAACTCTTTATTTCTGTGGAGATTATTCTGTTTTAATAAATTATTAATATTCGTTATTGCAAGCTGGTTTATACATTGTGTCCCCGCAGAACGGACCACTCAAACAACGAATTTCCGCATAACGAACCGCGATTTTCCCCGCAATCGAGGTCCGCACAACGGAATTTTTTAGCTTAACTTACCGAGGTGACCCACCAGCTCAACATGCTTGACGTCGACGTTGAAAACGTCGAAAACCTCCAAGAAGAACAACAAGAAAAGCTCACCCAGGAGGAATTGCTGCTCTCTGCAGAAGAAGCGAAACGAGAGGAGACGAAGGAACAAGCGGAAGCAGCCATCTCGACGTTTGCGACCGCTGACATCAAGTCAAACCTCAAGGACTGGGCGCGCCTTTAGGATTGGGTGAACCAAACGCACTTGGATAAAGCAAAATCAAACCGCCTCAGCGACTTGTTCAACGACCACCTCCAATTCTACCGCGACGCTTTAAAAACAAAGAAGAGCGGGTGATTTTTGTTGCTATGGCAATCCCAGCAAAAAAGAGCAAGCCGGAAGAAAAGCCGTAGAAGAAATTGGCGGAAGAAAAGAAGCAAGAAGAAACGGCGGATGAACCACAGCCTGGGTCTTTTGGGTGTCCAAAAACTGCTCCACGGGACCTTCCAGTCCCTCGCAAACTTCGACAGAGCGCAAATAACAACAAATGGAAACAAAAAATTTTTTTGCAAAGAAAAATGAAGTGAAAATCCCTCATTTTCTTTCAAAGGCATTGACTTTTTTCAAGAGCAGATGAGCAAAATCAAATGAAAAAATTCAGAAAGAAAACTTAAACTTTTTCTATCGAAGTTAAAGCGAAGTTAAGAAAAGTTTCTTGAAAGGACTTTTTCTAAGTTTTTGCACTTTTTACTGGTTTTTTACTTGTTGCTAAGTGTTTCTGAAAAGTGAAAAAGACAAACTGATTGGTTTCATTCATATCCACTAGTTTTTCTGATTTTTATTTACCATTTTTCGTTTTTTTCGATGTTATGTTTCGGCGCGAAACCAATTATTTCGATTTACATAGAAGTCTAACGAAACGGATTAAGTCCGTTGTGAGGAAACACACTGTAGATCTATAAAAATAATTGGGAATCATTTTATCTAAACAACTAGTTTTTGCCCAATTCATAGGACTTGTATATAAGAGTTTGAAACATTGAAACATTTTTAATGCAAATCACTACAAAATTGACATCGTAAAGCCGGTTTGAAAATAAACAAGTCCAAAAAAATAACATGGTATGTAGGATGGCCCGTTGTTGCACCCACCCGCCCAGGCGGTTTGACCCTCTCGTGTTGGCCCCATCAGATCCCTCCCGTCATCATAAGAAACAGTTTTGCATACAGTGATAAAATAGTTTTTCCTAGCTTTCAATTATGACAAAGGATTAGTTGTGAATGAAAATTTTTTCCATGTTTCTCCGAGATTTTATAATTTGACAATTTTCAATTTATTTCTTGATTAGAAATTTTTGAAATCGTTTTGGCAAATAAGGTTTACTGAACCGAAAATTATCAGCATTTATTTTTTTTTTAAATTCCTATACTATAAAGTTTGAATTTTTGATTTAGATTTTTTGTTTGATGACTTTTATGTACTAAGCATCACCAAGTAGCAAGCTGTAGGCCGGCAACCATTGTGATATTAAGATAAATGGGCCACATTGCAATGAGATGCATGGTGACCTTAAGTTGTTACAAATTATTATATAAAATAATTAATTATATTCACATTATGAAATAAGAGAAATGATTGAAACTAAATTAGTTGAAATTGATATAAATTAGGGCCTACCAACCATTCTGATCTGGAAATTTATTCCGACTCAACATGTCTTCAAGTCAAATCCAATTTATCCTTACTGTATGTTATATCCGAGATGGGAAACAACGTTTAAATATTAAAATATCCAATACTTTGGAATGGTGAAATAATTTTTAATAAAATTCTCAAATCTTCTTCAAATGTTTACAGAAAAAGGCAATACATACATACATACATAGAATCACATTGTACACAACCAAACATTTCCTCAATACAATCCTCTCATGAAACAAACGAACGAACGAACGAAAGCCTAATATACGAATCCATTCATACGTAAGATTACGCAACTAGCCGGCCCAAAAGCTGCGTGCCTATTGGTCAACTTGATTTCTGCCTGGTTACGTCATCGTACGCAAGTCTAGTTAGATAAATTTGTTAGAATCTATAACAATGCAATGCATTAAACAAACAAGACAAATTCCATGCGTACACGCAATGTGTACTAGTACATATAAACTTAACGTAGTAAGTCTGTTATTATGTAATGCACAAGCGCTGGTGCGGTGCGTTGTCACAGTTGAAACCCAATGAAGACAAGCTGCAAATTCATAAAAAAAAAATTCAAAATAATTTCAAACTAGGAGTTATTTGGGAAGTTGTACTGAAATTGCTTGCTTTTAACAATTTGATATTAAAATTATGAATTTCGAATAGAGATGTTATGCTCAACCGTCTAATCAAACAATGCAAACAAATAGTGGAGCAAAACAAAATACACATGTCAGGGGGACAGCATGCACATCATCACACTTTTCACATTCTTCTCCAACATAACACAATGTGTACGCACACACACACACACAAACAAACACACACATACACAAACACACATACACAAACACACGCGATGAGCGTTGCAGCTGTTCACAAACAACTTCACATCACGCATTTCAACACAAAATAATCTCCTGAATTCAAAGTTATAATCTAATTAAAGCGGATTAAAATTTAGTAAAAAAACAACAACAATAGGAGATATAATAATAATAATAATGAGTAATAATAGCAGTAATAATAATGCTGCCTTAGTTGCATTAACTACTTAGCAAGTTTGTCACTTTGTTTCTAACTTGTGGAGTCCGACACTTCACAGATCCTATCTACTGGAACGATCTGATGGAGTTTGTAAGCGCTAATGGACCAACCAAAAATTTTCAAGTTTCTGTTATTTTTTTGAAAGCGCTTCTCTCGTTTTTTTTGCATAATTTCATAATAAAAACATTGAAATGTAAAATATAATACAACAAAATTTTTGATGAAAATTTATGTAAAAAACTTTAAAAACGGCAGTTTTAAGTGAAAGTCCTTTTAAAATTTTATATTATAAAATATAAATTTTATAATAACGGGAAGTATAAATATGGCTAATTAGCTTTATTAACCGCGAATTATTTCAAAAAAGTAACGCGTGACTCAATGGAGGCTTAATTGAATGACAAATCATCATTTAAACTGGTTTATGAGCGTAACTAAACTTATTGAAAATGCTAATTAGAATGAACAACTTCATGCAAATGAGGCAGTATTAAGACGTCCTCAGGTTGTTGCAGTTAAGAGGAATGGAGTGTTTTAGTTGACGAAATGTTTAATTTGGGTTGTGAATAATGTAAAATATGATTCCATTAATAAGATCCTAGTTCTAAATTATATACATATTCGTTCATTTATTCGTTCATTCGTCCGTCCATTCGCTCGCTCGTTCGTTCGTTTGTTTATTAGTTCGTTCGTTTCGTTCGATCGTTCATTCATTTATTCGTTCGTCCGTTTGTTTGTTCCTCTGTTCGTTCGTCCATTTACTTGTTTGTTCGTTCGTTCGTTCGTTCGTATGCATGTTTGTTTGTTTATATATTGTAATTCATCTATTTTAACGAGTAGAAACTCTAAATTTGTTGGCAATAAACCATTATAATGAAATATTTAGAATTGAAATAACAGAAATGCAACGCCTATAAGCCGCAGTGAAATAATAAAAACATGGAAGTAATATAATAACATCATAATAAAAAAAATAATAATATTAATTATAATGGTGGTTAGTGTCCGGAGTTGCCATCATAAAACCAATTACGTAAGAGAGCCAAGCAGGTTATTACGTAATCCATTGTTCAAGCACCCTTTCATTCATCCATTCATTCATTCATCCGTTCATTCGTTCGCTTATTTGTTCGTTCGTTTATTCGTTCGTTCGTCCATTCGTTTGTTTATTCGTTCGTTCATTCAACCTTTTATTCTTCTATTCATTTATTTAATCATTTATTTATTTTTCTAATTATTCATTCGTTCGTTGGTTCCTTCCTTTGTTCATTCATTCTTTCCTGTTCGTATGTCATTTTGTGTCCGCTTATTTATTTGAATTCATTCGTTCGTTCTTTCATTCACGGTTGTTTTTTAACTCATTCATTCACGTTTATTCATTCGTTCTTTCTGTCATTCAGTTGTGCTTCGTTGTAATTTCATAGGTGTATCTACCCAAATAAATTCATATTTATTAGAATGTTTCATTTTTTAAATGTAATTTCTGAAAAACTGCTGGAACCCTGAGTCCCAGTTGTACAAATGAAAATGTACAAAACTTCGTTGTGGTTGTGCAAAACTTCGTTTAGTTGTACAAAACTACATTGTGGTTGTACAAAACTTCATTGTGAATGGACAAAACTTCATTTTGATTGGAAAATGGACACAGTTCAGAACGAACTACTATTTTAAATTAGGAAATTTTTAATTGTGAAGTTTTTTTTGTATTAATATATTTCTCAACCAAAAATAACCTCTCACTGATTAATATTATGCTTGGAGATGTGAACTGCGAGAGGTAGGAAGAGGTATTTGGTTGTTAAAAATGCTTATTGATACTCATGAGTTTAGTTGGCTTTAAAAAACATAATTATGCTCTTAGTGTTTGTATATCACCACAAAAAGAATGAAGCATATTTTGAATGTTGTTTATTTTGAGATTAGTACATAAGGAAATCTGAATATTTAGTATTTTTAAAAACAGAGGCATGCAATAATATGATTTCCAGTTAGAAAGACATTACAGCTTTTAAGGTTCCATAAATAAATTTGACAACAAAACTTCAAGGCAAAGTCTCGTTTCATTGAATAATTTTGAATAGCTCAGATTATGTCGCGAAATAATTAAAGCTCCGACATTATGCTAACCATTGCGTTGCATTGTGGCATTGCAAGCAAGTCTGTGGACTTCTGTCAATTTTTTCAAACATCTTCTTTGCCAGTTGAAAAGCATGAAACCATTGCCGTGATGAATGTAATCGGCCCCGCGCTTGTAATTTGAAATATGGATTCGATGAGTTTTGTATTTTGCTGAAAAATGTTCGCACAGTTACTAAACAAAAAAGCGCAGAGAAGAAAGGAAACCTTGGAGACAAAATTTTTCAATTTTTACAAAATGCATGTTTATTTAGCCAAAATGTAGCATTATTTTCAAAACATCAAGGAAGCAACCTTTCAAAAATATTTTTTACAAATTTTTCAAAAATATATTTTTCAAATATTTTACAATAAAAATCAACAATAATTATTTGTTTTCATTTTTCTTTTCACAGGATACTTTTTTAACAATAAGTATATATGAAAAATTGAAAAAAAAATAATAAAAGCTTGTATTCATTATAATATAGCTAAAGTTAATTGGTAAATGGTAATACAAAATTTAATTATCTGCTGAAATATTTGTTGTTGAAAGTTGTTAACTATTTCCAACTTTTGATTGGACTACTCAACTATAATGGATCGAATAATATACCGTCTTTGGTAATACACCTTGATATAAAAACTTACTGCTGCAAGTAAAACGATTTTGTTCAATTTTGTAGAGTAAATGTTTATAATGTTGCATTTGGTTCCATCATTGACGTAGGAAATATGTGGGGTCCCATTCTTAAACTTCTACCCGGCACAACTCAGTTGATGTAAGTTATAGGATGTTTCGAATGTTTCAGTACTTCCTGACTGCCAGCGTCACAATGCAATGGTCAGTAACACATATTCTAAACTTTTCTGCGATTTACATGAAAAGACGTTAGTCTTGCACACGCTGCAACCAAAATGTAAATAGCAAAAATTCACCGACAATTCAACAAACAATTCCGCTCACTCTTTCGAGCAGAAATATTTATTTTCTGTGCTATAATCGTAGTCGCAATAGAAGCACGTATTGTTTTCGGTGCTGAGCTGGTAATACCAATCACTTGAAGACTTAAGAAACGCCGCCGGCCATAACTCAATACATTGCTTGCCTTTGGACCGACTTTCAACTTGGTAACAAATTTCTCTGCCCTGTTCAATGAGGAATTTGAGACAATTATGTTGGTATTTAAAATGTTGGCTTTAACAAACTTTAAAATAAGGTCAAAACCTTTAAAATAAGGTCAAAACCTTTAAAATAAGGTCAAAACCTTTAAAATAAGGTCAAAACCTTTAAAATAAGGTCAAAACCTTTAAAATAAGGTCAAAACCTTTAAAATAAGGTCAAAACCTTTAAAATAAGGTCAAAACCTTTAAAATAAGGTCAAAACCTTTAAAATAAGGTCAAAACCTTTAAAATAAGGTCAAAACCTTTAAAATAAGGTCAAAACCTTTAAAATAAGGTCAAAACCTTTAAAATAAGGTCAAAACCTTTAAAATAAGGTCAAAACCTTTAAAATAAGGTCAAAACCTTTAAAATAAGGTCAGCACGCTTAAAAAAATGGAAATGCAACACTCTCTCATTTGGATGCGGTGCATGCTTAAAAGCAGAATTTGTTGAATTAATAAATTCACATTTATTGCAGTTTGAAGAGGAAGGCATAAAAATTTTAACATAATAACTATTAAATTCCTCAAATTTGAAAATTAAAAACATCGTTAACACTAAGTTGTTATTCAGACAATCACTTCATAATTATAATCAATCATCGTTTTATGAAAATTTGGTTTTAAATGGTTTAAAATGAAACTTTCCAAGTGAAATGTGTCGCTAGAATTAGTAAATAATAATAGTAATAATAATTCCATTGTATCACACTTTCGTTTCACGTATACTGATAATTAAAATTAAAGCTTCAAAAATATCATTGATTTCAAAGATCTGTTGCAGAAAACTCAAACGCTTGACATTTGGTTTGAAAATAATGTACTAAATTTGGTATGCTAGCAGTCCCATCATAATCGAAAATTTGTTCAACATTGGAGGCAAAGAATACTTTCAAACTTATTTGTCTTAACGCAGTCTTTCATGTCTAATTTTATTTTTTCGAACAAGATCCGAGACTATAATCTACAAACCACAATGGCTTATAGCTGTTAGCCGTTGTGGTTTGGATGGTTTTTTCAATCTTTTATCTTTATTTGGCTTACATTATTCCAGATAAGTTTGAAAATATTAAACTTCAGTATTTCACTACAATTTTGTGATAAATATTTGTATTATAAATAAGTAAAACTCAGTTTTAAACCAGAAAATACCAAGTTTAACTAAAAATTTCGCAAAAAATTAGCAAAACTAAGTGCAACCGACGATATAATTAACTATTGAAAATAAATTGAAAGGAAAATACAAGTGCTGCTTCTCACATGCTGGCTAATGATTTCGAGATTGATTTTCCAATTTGATCTGTCAAAATAAGTCGAATTTTTCATCAATAACATTTTCTAAAAGGTATTTGATGAAAAATGAGGTTTTTTCCTATAAATTGTTTGAAAGTTTAAATTCCCGTAGAAATATTCACGCAAATATTCTCGAATAAATAAAGAAAACATGACGGCACAGAGGTAAAGTTAAATAAGACATGAGAAAAATATAATAACTTGTATCACAAATGTGTGTAGCATTAATGGCTAAGTTACTTCTGAAACAAGTTTTTTCCATCAATTTTCACGTGAATGGAGCGGGAATTTTTGGTCACAAATTATAGGTTTCATTGTTTTTTTTAATTATTAAATTTGAAAGTTTTTTATGAGATAAAAAAAATATTTAAAATGTGATAGCTATTAGATTTTGTTTACTTGACAAATGTGTAAGAATGAAAAAAGATTTTGGTTGAAACATTTAATTTGGTTATTGTTTGCATGAAACACTCTTCTAAGATAATAAGCATAGAACGAATAACACGCATGCTACAAATATATTTATATTTATATATGGCTACTGCTCGCACCTGATAGTTTTCAAAGAACAAATTACTATATCACGTGCATTTTGTGAAGAAATAAAAAATAATCTGATGGGATCACCCTTCAAATTTGTGCAATATCGAATATGTATCCCTCGATTTCTCGTTGCACATAATTTGATAATTTTTGTGCAACCTTTTTACAAAGCCACCTATATATTCTCATGATTTCAAAACTTCTCCCAAACTTATTGTAATTAGGCATTGAAAGATATGGCAATATTTATAAGAGATTTTTATTTTTGTGATAATTTTTTTGAAGAAAGCCGAGCTCCTGAAAATTATCACTAGACCCCATGCTCGTAAATATCACAATTCCAGGAAAATTAAACATATCAATTTATATATTTAAATTGACGTTTTTTATCTCGCTAAAACAACTTTAAAAAAAAATTAATTTTTAAATTTTTAGATGAAGCAAATGAACTGCAAGTTTTATCTCATTTGCAAAGATTAGTCGTTTAAAATCATACTTATTGATTGTCACCTTCTACTGGGTACACAGAAAAACATGTATGATTTGATTTCCGAGAAAAAACTGCGAATCACCGAACATTAGAGTTTTGACAGGGAATGGAATGGTTATCAAAATTCAGTAGAAAGCATCGGCAGCAGTTGACGGCTCGCGAACCTGAATTCTGAAACAGCAGCACTTCTGTGTGTATGCGCGTGTGTATGTTTTTGAGTGTTTATTTGATAACATAGTAGATATTAAAATAGAAATATAATAAATGATAATAGAATATAAGTTATATGAATTACAGTTAATATGATAATTAAAATTTAGTTTTTTAAAATTCACCATTTTTTAGCAAAGTGTTTATCAAAAAAACAATGAAATAAAAAACAAATTGATGAAGAGCAGTTGATAATTTTCTTTGATAGCCATTATTTGTTGGATCAAAACGTGAAAATCTTTTCGCCTCGTTAATGATGAACTCCCTTTTGACGCATTCTCTTTTGGAGCACATCTTCAAATTGTAAATTAAAGACGAAACTCTCACTTAAAATTGTTTTGACAATTTGAAATGACCAAATATAAACTCGTCACCAAGCTTCTTCCGCATGAAGTTCCATCGTTCACAAATGTAGCATGGCTGTTTCTTCGATCCACCTTGTAGACAGCGCACACGCACTCCAATCCCAGCTGGCACCTGTCATGCAGTGATTTCAAATCTGGATGTATTTGACGGAGATCGCAGAGCAGGCTACCACACAAAACATCTCTGCATTAAAAATATTGTTACACAGATTTCCAGCTAAATAATTGTTTCAATGATGGTGCAGCGAAGATATATATGTATCATAAAAAACTAACTTTTGCTTGCATGGAATGGACGTTTTTGAGCTTACATTATAATCGCAATAGAAGCAGTTGCTATCCTCAACAGTTGTGTGGCTGTAGCATCTCTCGCCAGCGGAAACAACGGATTCATCGAGCCACAGCTGGGAATATTGAGCGTTACGTGGCTGGCACTTGCCATTGTAACAGTACTGCCGATTCTTTGTTTGTTGTTCATTATATATAAATATTTATGTGTTATTGACTATGCGTGTGTGACCACGGAGGAACCATTGAATTCGATTGAAATGCTCATGTGCAAACATTTTCAAAACTACTTAAAATATGCGTAATAAACAATGCGTAATGACAAGACAAAAATATCATTAAAAGTTGTAGCAATCTGCTCAAAAATTAATTTTGCATGCTTTACAATTATGAAAAAATAATTACGTTTAGTCCGAGTATAATTTGGACAATTGGATAACGTACCATGTTCATGTGTTTTATAAAAAAAAACGATAACGAAAGATAAAAAAAAGTATTATGTTCTAAAAGTTTAAAATTATTGTTATAGCGTTATTTCCAAAAATGCATGTAAGTGTAAGACTAGCTGTGCACATGGATCCATCTGGTTTGACGTCATCACCACATAAACTGGAATTCCCATCGCAGTGATCCTCTACGTCGCAATCATCTTCCACGGGTCTGCACACCATTTCTACCGATTTCATCTTTGTGGTAATTCAATAATCACTTCAATAGTTTCATAATAGTGTTACAAAGTTCTGTATCTCAAAAATTAATTTAAAAAATGACGTATTGGCTTTGAAAGGCCACTAACGTTGCAGGTTGCAAGTTCGCAGCACAGGCCAGATGCACACTTTGCTGTCGGTCGGAGCTTGCAGGTCGTTCCGTTGCAACAGGCTTTCGAACAAACCTGAATAATCATTATGTAGTTATTTTAATCATAAATAAGCGTACGACTGTTTAGACAAATAAATTAAGCCATCAAAATATAAAGACATAATAAATAAGTTTATTAATAAATGAATAGATAAATATAATTTTTATTCATTTCGACCTCATCTGGGAAAGAGCCACAGTCGCATTCTTCACCCGGTTCTAAAAATCCATTCCCACAATTGGCAGCAGTTACATTGGACATTGACACTTGTGCAAATCATAAGTCTCGCCAAGTACTGCAAGAGAACAGTTTGCCCAGCTGAAGTCTGTCGTATCGCTTACCCTGAAACAATGTAAAAAATATTTTTCACCATATAATGATAAAATTTTTTTTAATAAAATTTCTTTTAATAATTAAACGGTTCAGAATTGAAAACTAGTTGCATTTTCAAAAAAGTATTTAACGACGAAACTTCAGTTTAGGAAAAAATTTAGCAAATCAGAGAGTTTTAGAAGTAGAAATTTTAAAACAAATAAATTTCATGAAATGTGAAGTTGAAAATGTTGAATTTATGTTACTTGGAAAGTAAGTTTCCAACAGAAAACTAATTATAGAAAAATTTATAATGTGCAATTTAATTCAAATTTATTTAGACATAAAACTTTAATTTTATTGGGCTATCTTCGTTTAATGTTTGTTGTTATCATATGTCTTTTATGACATGATCTTGTTAATTGGTGGATACTTATTAATTTTTTTAAATCGTAAAATTAAAAAAAATTATGTCGGCACATACTTACTTGACTTTACTGTTCATAATACAACGAGAGGAATCACACTGACAGTCGGGGACCTCCTCAATATGATTCATCCCATATACGTGGCCCAGTTCGTGAACAAAAGTAAAAGTTGAAACAAGAAAATTTCTGTGCACCTGAACAGAAAATAATTGTTTTCTTTTTTGTTTAAAAAAAACTAAATTTTAATTATTCATCAAATCAATTTATCTTAATTTAAACAGCAAATAAAATAGCTTTATTTATTAAAACTGATTTTTATAAAACGTGACAACCCATTCTCGTTAACATTGTAAGTCCTAATAAAAATATACAATTTCGCAGCCAATTCTTTTGTTGCTCTGGGGCCTTATCCTATAATTTGCAGTCATTTACTGTGGCTGAGTTTTGAAGATAATTGTACAAATATATTTTAATTCAATTCAAATGTGTAAACTTAATTAACTAGGAAAATTTTTTAAATTTATGTCTTCAGTATTAATGGATAAAAAACAAAAATTGATTAATTATTTTAACCAAAAACCAAGCCGAAGAATCGTAGGTGCACATAGATTTGAAGTTCGCCACACCCAACGTACCTCTGACGTAAGCATTCCTTCGAACAAAAATACATTTCAGGATGGATCCCATTGTCAGTTAAAGAAGTATTTGATCAGTACAAAATTAACATAGCAACATCGTGTGAAGGCGCAGACTCTAAAATGTTCTTAACTTTGTAATCACTCCAGACATCAGCAAAACTAATCCCGTCCAAATCTGCTGGCAGCGCTAAAACTTTGGTGAAGTCCAGACATTCAACTGACTTACAGTTAAATAAATTTCTGCTTTTTGATAAAACTGTTTGATGATTTGATAAATTTAACAATTACTAAACAAAATAACAAAAATTTGTAAAACTTACCAAACTTGCCGAATTAAAAATATTAAGCGTCTTGCCAATGGACTTTTTGACATCAAATCCAGAAGCATTGTACTTCCAAAAGACAAGGTTAGTTTTGTAAAAAAAAATTAATTGTTACATTGTTATATTTCATTTGTCAACTGTTTAAAAAATACATGAATTGAAAATATTTGGCTGTCAAACCTCAGAATAGTCTATGACGATGTGCAGTTCAACGATTCTTGTCCTCCTGTCTAAACCAGAAAAAATACTTCGGGGAAAAAACTTCTGAATTGAACAATTTATTTTCAACAAATAAATTCAGAAAAAACTGTCGTTATACTCACTTTTTTAATTTTCTTGACAGCTCTTTCATTCAACATCGACGTATTTGTTGATCCTATCATTTATATATAATAATATATGTTTGTATATTGCATCATGGGTATATTTCAATTAAAAATAAAATATTTCATATAAAAACCATATTAATGATGAACAAATACATATTAACTCAAACACACATACACGCATAAATGGTATACATATTTAGTATTTACAAAGTTTCAGGGAACATCACGGTCACCGTTCTGTTTTATTTTTGTAAATTGTGTTTGTTTATATTTTTGTCTTGCACTTGAGTTTGAGATGGGCATGATGTGGAAAGTGAAAAGGAAATGATGATGCGTCTGGCTAAGATGATGAAAAAAAAATTCTAAGGTGCTCTGGTAAAAGGTGAATAAGTCAAGGAAAATAAGTCCTAATTGGTATTTTAGTTTCCAAAGATGATAATGTTATCATTGAAGAAAAGAAGATATTCACAAGACAAATAGTTTTGCCGATTTCTTTAAAAGTGTCTTTTTAGAGGATAGCACATTGAATGGTGGGTATAATGAGTGCTGTAAACAGAATGTTGACCAAATTAAAAATGAAGTTATTATAGATGATTTGGTTGTGAATGCTTGTGATGTGGAGAGAAAGAAAAATTGATGATTAGAACCTAAACAGATCTGCTGATCCGGATAATGTTTTCTCTGCTATATTGAAAGATACAAGTTTTCAATTTCTGCCTATTTGTCATATTTATTCAATTTGTCCTTACGGACAGGAAATATTCCGGATGATAGTAATATTGCTCCCATATTCAAGAAAGGGGATGAACATAAAGTCAAAAACTTTAGACCGGTTGCCTTGTGTTGTAAATTGTTGGAATTTACCATTAAAAATCACTTGAGATGCTTTTTCGATAGTAATAGTTTGCTTAACTGTACGCAGTACGGATTTGTTAAAAGTTGGTCTACCACTCTACACCTGCTCAAACTGCTTGATGATTAGAGTTACGCTATTGATAATAGATTGGATGTAGATGTTATTTATTCAGATTTCTCAAAAGCGTTTCATAGAATCTCGCATAGTTTGTTAATTGAAAAATTGCATAGATGTGGTTTGAATGAATGTTTGATCGAATGGATTTAAAATTATTTTTGTTGAATATCTTGTGTAAGAGTGAATAATTGTCTGTCGAATAGGTTTAAAGTTGGCAGTGGGGTGCCTCAATTAAATGAGTTGGGTCTGGTTTTGTTTATTGTGCATGTAAACGATTTTTCTGGTATTGTTGAAAATGATTCTGTCAATTTGTATTTATGTATATGCAGACGATGCAAAATTGTTTAGTTGTAAAATATGTGACATTGACTGTGAAGTATTACAAAACATCTTGGTAAATAGTATGGATGGTGTCGACTGTGGAAAATTGATTTGAATGTGTGTTGCAATGATATATGATCAGATGGGTTCAGATGATGGATATAAAATTAAAGGTATTAGTTTAAACAGCTGGGAGGAATTGAATGATTTAAGGATATATTTCAGAGCTCTCTAAGTTTCAATTAATTAATAATTAATTTTGTTTTTTAGGTATAATACACAGAATTTTTAAATACTTAAATAAAAATTCATTTTGACTAATTTACAAATCTCTAATAAGGTCGAAACTCAATTATGCAGTCGCTGTTTGGTCACCATGGAAGAAGAAGTAAATTGAGGAGTTGGAGCAAGTGAAGAAGTGTGCTAGTAAGATGGTACGTGAATTCAAAGGACTTTGCTCTACCGAAGTTGTTAGAAATGCCTTCCTTTAGGTAGTGAAAAACAAGGAGAAATTTGATAGCGCTCTACAGTATCGCCACTAGTCGTGCAGACAGAAGACCCTCCAACCAGAGGACATCATTTCAAGATATATGTGCACGTGCAGAAATATAACAACAGCAACTGAAATTTTTCCTTCACCAACATGATCTTTTCAGTATGGAGCATTTTGCCAAATTATATATGATTATGACATGGGCACTATTGTTTCTGTTACAAGGTTTATTTTTGATTATATCATGAACACAGTTGTTTGATTTCATATATTTTCTTATTTGGTTAATGTTTTAAGACATGGTCATATTGACTTCTAAGTTTGAGCCCATTATTAGCTATTGTATTATATTATCATTATATTATTGTATATATACAGCGTAAATTGTTTATATACATTCATACGCAACACCAATTCAAATTGAACAGCACCTATTTAAATTAAATAACACAAATTTGAACTAGATAACACCAATTTGAATCTACCACAAAAATGGTCCAAACTGCCTGATAACTTTGTAACTTCTACTGAATGGAATGATCCAAATTTTACTGAAGACATTTCAAACACTTTCCCATCCATTCCATAAAACCCGCTATAAAAACAGAACACTTAAAATGATTAAACAACCTTAAATTTTTAATGAAAAATATTACACCTAATCTCCGAGCACAATGAAAGGACCACAATTTGGGAAGCATTTCCATTCACATCGCCGTGGTAATAGCAATCGATCTATGTATTTTATTTATTTATTTTATATGTAAGAAGCACTTTTAAAGGTAACTTAATTTGCCAAAAATTTTAATTTTTCTTAAACGTGATTTCATTAGAATTTGCCAGATTCTTAATTGTTAGAATAAAATTGAAGGGAAATTAAATACTTAAAAAAAGACAATAAATTTTCTTTAAAATGAAACTAAAAAATAGTAAGAAAAATTAGGGAATCAATCAAAGAAAACAACGGAATTGTGAAAAAAAGGGAAAAAACATACAGGTTTGAGCTTGAAAACTTAAGCGGTTGTGGGTTAGGTTCAGAGTTCTAATTTCCCATTCTTACAAGTTATTTTTTAAAGTTTGTCAAAATTGGTAAGTTCAATGGAATATTTATTCTAATTGTCATAACATCAGTTTTTAAACGTTATAAAATAACGAACCAAAAAAAGATACATTAGTTTTTAATTTTCGGTTTATACGCTTATAAAATAACCTTTTCGTTATATAAAACTTCTTCGTTCCGTATTCCAATTGTGTACATTTTGAAATTTGATGAATGTATCTGGCTTTAAATTTTTTAAATTTGTAGAAAAATATAGAAAAAATAGAATTATATAAATACTCGGCATTACTAATCCAAACGAACTGAAAATTCCAATAGTACGTTGTTATTCTTGCTCACTACTATCTTCATCTTGTCAGACTTCTGTGCAGAATAAATTCAAAATTTTAATCTATAACTTTTTAAAAATTGATTCGTTATAATTTATAATAAAGTTACATTTTGTCCGATGTCTCCTATAATTACTTTTTGCTTGTTCCCATCCATGTATGTTAAACCGAAAATTTCGTTAGTGGTACGTTCTGGATAACACGAAATTTAATTAATGAAAGTAATAGAAACTTAATATTTTTGTTTTCATAAAATTTTTTAACAATTTTTAGATGATTTCAAAATGCCATTTAAAAATCATCATATATGATTATTTGTAATAGTATAGTGCAGCTTATATTGATCAGCCTACACTTTCTGTCGCAATAAGTGAAACATTTCTTATAAAATTAATATTTCAATACAACAGTGATAAAGGAAAAAATGCAAGTACTTGATAAGAATATTAAAAGTAAAATAAATATGTATTCCCACATTTCGGCCGTTTTGATGTTGTTTTCAAATATATACAGCAAAGAAATATAATTGTTTATTGGCGAAGTAAACACGTTTGAACATAAAATAAATCCATACTTGAGAAATAAGTTTAATATCTACCAGTCATTCAAATATATCTCATTACTAATTTGTAATATATTTGATGAAACATTATTTTATTCTTATTAA